TTTTTCTAAAACACAGAGAACCAGCTTGGCCAGGTCTCCCTCAAAGACCACAGCACCAGCGGCACATGCCCCTGCTCCTCTGTCTCAACTGTAATACTCCCGACTTCGTTTTCAGTCACGCAGCTGTAGAAGTGGTAGCTGCTTCCTGTAGTTGTACATCTGTGACACCAGTTTTCCTTTAACCCAATTATTTAGCTAAAAACTTTATATGTGCTAATCTTTATGTTAAATTCTGTTAAAAAAAAAAAAAACTAAATAAATTCTCTGTTCAGGTAATTGGTGAGATTTCTGTCTTCTGATTGGACTTGACTCAGTAGCATTGTCATGCAGACAGACAGCCAAAGGCACAGTCCTTATGAAATAAACACTCTATGCTTCCCTACCCCTAAACTACTTAGTGTAGCAGAGGATACCTTTGCCACGCCCCTAAAGGATTAGAAGGGCAGATCCCATCTGACTAGGAGCCTGAGTATCACGTTTTCCCAGGGCCCCCTTTCAAAGCTGAGGACCTCTCTCAAGCAAGAAGCATACCCAGGCCTAACTTATCACCACCCACTCCCAAAATCATGGCACCAGGGGCAGAACCATTAAAAGTTGTGGGTGGGGTCCTGGCTGGGTGACTAAGTTGGTTGGAGCATCATCCTGTACACCGAAAGGTTGTGGGTTTGATCCTTAGTTCAGGCCCATATAGGAGACAACAGATAATATTTCTATCTCTCCAAAATCAATAAAAACATATCCTCAGGTGAGGATTAAAAAACAAAGTGATGGGTAAGAGTGAGGAATATATTTCAAGGGAGGAAAATCTAAAGGCCAGGAATCCCAAGAAACTGAATCCAAAGAAATGTGAAATCAAAACCCAATATTTTAATCCCTTTGACCTCTCTCCAAAAGTTTGACTCTTCATAACAAGCCCATAAAAGCCAGGTACTTTATCAAAGTTAGCACTCTTTCTTGAGGATGGGGTACCTTCATCCTGAAGAATGTTACCCAAAGTCAACTCTGCAGCAAAAGCTACTGGTGCAAAACTAGCGTGGGGACCACCAGTGAGGGAAGCAGATGACCTTTAGCAGCAATCCCCACATCACAAATCTTGTGTCTAACAAATCAGACCTGCGGTATAAACTCATGTGCCCTCATTCCTAAATAGCATAGAAAGAACATACACATCCTGATTTTTTAAAAAGAAAAGCTTTTCTTTTTCTAGATTCTGAGTTCCATAAACTTCATCAAGCTGTTTTATTAAAACATTTTTAAATAGCACAATCCCACATTTTTCCTCTCAAAATATTTCTTAAAAACTACTAACATTTTATTTTTGCTTTTTCAAGCATATAGGGAAGCATTTAATGGTGAGAGCTATCATTTTTTGAGCTGACCACGAGCCAGGCATATTAGTGCAGAAAACCTAAAGGAACAGTGTGTTAACAAGTGAGAATTTTATTTTCCCCATGTAATCAGGCCAGGGTTAGTAAGGCAATTCCATATCAAGTAAAGACTTGCTCTCTACTGTTATGGAAACTTAGAAGTTAAACACATCACTTGTGCTTCCATCCCATTGATGAGAATTAGTCACAAAGTCACACCAAGCTTCAAGGGGGGCTGGGAATGTAGTCTTTATTTTGGACTTTGAAAGAGTTAGCATCTACTCAGAAGCCCTGTCATATGGTATAAAACTCAGTGCATGTAGAAAGACTCTCAAGAAGAAATTTTATTTTCAATTTTACAACAATTCCCCTACAGAACAAAGTTGGATTCAAGAACAGCTTGGTTTTTAAATAAGTGCTGAAACATTAAAGGAAAATAAGAGGAGCCATTATCCTGGCAAAGTTTGATAACATCAATTTTTAAAAGGTAAGATACAAAGCTTTATATTGATTATTTAGAATCATGTTTAAAAATACATAAGCAGACCTAGCTGGTTTGGCTCAGTGGATAGAGTTTTGGCCCATGGACAGAAGGGTCCTGGGTTCCATTCTGCTCAAGGGCACTGACCTGGGTTGTAGGCTCTATTCCGGGCCCCGGTCATAGACTGTGTGTGCAGGAGGCAACCTATCAATGTGTCTCTCTCACATTAATGTTTCTCTCTGTCTCTCCCTCTCCCTTCCACTCTCTCTAAAAAAGAAAAAGAAAAAGTAAAAAAAGAAGAAGAAAATGAAAAAAATAACCTCAGGTGAGGATTAACCAAAAAGTAAAATAAAATATATAAGCAAGTAATAATTGTAGTTAATGACATTAATATAAAACTAAATGCTACAACACAACTTTCAATAATTATGAGATAATTAAAATTATGCTGTCAGCTAAAAATGTTTTTAAATATTTATAATGTATCTCTTTTCATAGCAATACTAATAAAATAAACAGATAATTAAAAACATAACCTACACATTTTACTTGAAATGTACATATCCAAAAATCCAAAGTTAATATGTATAATTGTGAGACCTACATGATTTCATTGTGAAAACGTTACGGGTAGAATGAGTAACAATAAAGAATGAGCAACAACAAAGAATGAGACAGAAAAGATGCTGGCTTGGATGTCCAGAGGCAGTTTTATCATTAGAATATATTACCTACCTGTCTGGTCCTCAGTTTCTAAACCTTTATGAACTGAGAAGTTGGAGTTTATGGGTATCATGCCCTATTATGAGGCAGAGCTTATATAAGGAATTTTCTAAGGGAACTAGTCCAGGAAAAGTTAGTCAAATGAAGTGAGATAGTTTGAAACCAGGAAATCTGATTCACCTTAGAAAAAAAATTGTCCTAACAAATATACTCCAATACTGTTTGTTCATGTTTTTATTTTATTTTTGTGTGTGTGTGTGTGCGCGCGCGCACGGAAGACTAGGATTTCCCAAATTTCTGCGGTCCTCAGAACAGCAACAAGTCTAAGTCACAGTGAGGGCTGGTGCCTGGCCCAGGGAATCACTGCCTTCATTTCCGCAGCCTCCCTGCAGATACGTGTGATCATAGCAATGTATGTGACCATGAACCCTCTTCTTTCCAGAAGTATCTTCAGGGATTACTTTTCAGGAGAATATGCTCTGGTATTATTGACATAGGCTAACTACAAATATTACATAGATGAATGCATTTTCTGACCAATCAAGCCAGAATGCACTCATCTTTTAGGCATGTCTCCCATAAAACATTTACTCTGGTTCCTCTGAATAAATGAAATCATTTGTGTACTTAATCAGACCATGTCCCCGTATTTAGAAAAGATTTTAAATAAAGGAAAAATATGTTGGCCAAGGAAGAACAATGTCTATTAAACCCCTTGTCTATCGTAAGACTACAGAATTTGGGAATTCATGATTTCTGAGTACATGAAATAAAATATTCATGTTAATCAACGTTTTAGACATAACTGTATTGTCAAGTTAATAAAAATAAATAAATCTTCAGTAAGTCTCAGTTATGTGCCCAAATACTTGTGGTGCTTAAAAAAAAAAAAAAGTACAGCTTCCTTCCATCCATTCTGATTTAATAGGTCTGGAGGTGGCTTAGACATCTGTAGTTTTTAATGTTCTATATATGATTGTGACAGGCAGCCAAGATTGAACTACTGTGCTTTATAAATCACAGAAGCTGTGACCCTTCCAGATGCTTGGGTGAATGGCATGGCGAAGTAACACTGTCACAGGTATGGAACTCGGCAGCTAGATCATTTTGGATGGATCACTTAAACCTCTTTGAGCCTTCACAAGTTATTCACAAAGAGGATAGTGTTTGCTATCACATATCCATAAAAACACATGGGACATTATAAGGAGTTACAAAACTTTTAACATAGCATTTAATGCTTTCTTTCTCTCCATGGTGTGTCTTCTCCCTTCTTTGCACATAAGAAAAAATCTACTGTTCGTCCAATGGAGTACCAAGTTTAAATCTCTGAGGCCTGCCTGCCCCAGCTCCACCACACTCCCCACCTGGCAAGCCCCTCCCCGCTGCTGGTACACTGCAAGCTCCTACAGAATCAGAGCAACCTTGTGTGTATAGACCAAGGTGAGCCAAAATACTACCACTTTACCCTTGAAGACAGACAGAAATTGCCCTTATAAGTCCCAGTTACCTGTTTGTTCTTTTTCAAAGGCTGCATCTTTTCTCTTCCGTGTATTTTAGTTGTGGAACTCACACAAGGGAACAAGGGAGGGCTGCTGAGGTCTACCCCAGTAATCACTGCACAAGTGACAATTTATTAGGTCTTATATGTGCAGGCACCTGGCAGCCCTCGGAGAGAGACGATTTCATTCTCTCAACCATCTACAACACAAACGGTATTATTATTCCCGCTGTACAGCTATTAGGGTAAGAGGGCTTGAGCAATTAGCTCAGGCAGGTCATGGGTCTGCGGGTGGAGCCAGGACTCCAATGCAGATCTCCCTCCAGAGCCCGAAATCCAACTGCCGTGCGCACCCGCTTCATTTTAAAAGATGCTCCAACAGCCGCCTCCCGGGGTGTGCCCCGAACACGCAACCTCCAGCACCTCGGTCCTCCCACTTGACAGCGAACACAGGAAAGCTGCAACTGCGATCGGACCGGAGGGTGCAGGCCCCGTCCCGAGAACCACTTCCTCTAAGCCATTCGGGCACCAAGGAGAATCCCAAAGGGCCTCTGAAGCGCCCGCGAGGAGTCCGAGCCAGGCCCAGCCCCGCAGCCAGGCCCAGCCCGGCCCCGAGCGCGCTTGCAGCGGCCAGAGAACGTCCCGACCTCGGCCCGCCGCCCGCTCCGGGCCCTTCCGTGGCCGCAGCCGCACGAGCGCCTCGCGTTTCCTGAAAGTCCCTCCGGCCTCTGGCCTCCCGTGCAGCGGTGTCGCGCGCGTCCCCTTCCCCTGGTCCGCACGCACAGTCCTTTACTTCCGGGTTCCGCCTCCGGAAGTGACACACCGGAAGCCCTTTCCCGTACGGGGCGGGGAAGGAAGATGGCGGCGCCCAGCAGCCGGTGAGGAGAGAGGACACGGGGCCCTCGGAGAGCGGCCGGACTCGTGCGCGATGGCCGCCTCCCCCCACACTCTCTCCTCACGCCTCCTGGCAGGTACCGCACCGCCCTCGGGCGCGAGGTTGGGGAAATTCCCTTGTTTTGGGGCTCATCCGGCGCCCGGTTGTGGCTGGCTGCAACCTTGGGAGCCCTTGGCGAGGCCGGCGGAGCGCCGGTGGGGGTGTGACCTTCGGGGTAGCCTGAGGTGGAGGGGACGCGGGGCTGGGGGTCTGAGCTGGCTCTGCGGTGCTGGTGCCACCCCTTGCCCCGTCCCCCCTCGTCCCGCCCCGAGGGCCGCTGCCTTTGCTCCTGCTGGTTTGCACCTCGTGGAGGCTGGAGGGAGGACATAGCGGAACCTTCGCGCTCCCGAGCCTCGGTTCCTAGCCGCCGGCAGTCAGGACTAGGGAGCTGTGCCCCCGCCCCGCAGCCTTCTTGCCATGTGGAGGGTCCTGGTGCTGCCACGATTATGGGAACGGTGATGACTGCTATGGGCAGCGGGCCGCAGCTTGACTCTTAGCTTTGAGCCGTTCAGCGTGGTCCCTGCTGCCATCCTCCCGCTTGAAAAACCTGTAACAACTTTAAGTTGAAGGTGGAATGCGCCTTCTTGGCCCCTTGGCGAGGTCTCAGCTCAGATGTCACCTTTGCTGAGGCGCCTACCCCGTCTCCAGCAGAGCCCCGCCCCTCTTCTCTCTCTATCCTGTTTCTCCCAGGATGGCTAGCACAGGCTGCAATTGTTGACTTGAGTACCGGTTTATCACATGTTCCTGCCAACTGGAATATTAACACTTTGGAGGACAGTTCTCTGGTTCCCCTCTTTGACCCCAGTGCCCGGGACAGTCCGTGGTGTGCATTGTTGGCTCTCAGTAATTACTTGTGAATGAATGAAGTTTGCCCTGATAGTGTTATTGGGGAGGAGCTGAGAACTATTTTTCCCTCGATAGTTTAGGGCATAACGAATAGCTATGAAAAGGACTCGTTACCGCTGGTCCATATGGGGGGTGACAGAATCCCAGGACTCCCTTTTTTCTCAAATCCCAGCACCTGGCTGAGTCTGACATTCCTTTTTCCTCGTGGCATTGTTATTTTATGGGTCTTTTCTGGTCTGTGTGATCTCAGAGCAAACCATCTGACTTTTCTGGAATTGAAGTTACTCACCTATAAAATAAAGCAATTTAATTAGATAGTTTCAAAGGTCCCTGTTAGCCCAAAAGTGGGGAAGAGGGTGGGAAGTAGGAGGGAGTATAAATGAAACAAGACTGGCCTTGGTTTGGTAATTGTTGACTCTAATGGGGCTCATTGTATTCTGCTTTTGGATGTGACTGAAGTTTCCCATAATGAAAAGTGTTTTGTTTTTTAAAGCCTGTGGTTCTTTTTGAATTACTTGCTACCTTCTACCATCCTTGACTGAGTGTTCTTTGACCCTGACTATAGACGCTCATTCTCAGCCTTTCTTGTTGCTTGAATTATCACCTCTGTTTGAAGGGTCCAATTTGGATCCTTCAGACTAGCTGGTTTTCTGCCTGTCAGTTCTGTACTTTAAATTCTCTAGAGGGAGCTCCGAATTCCCCAGGTCCAGGAAGTGGGCTACATATACATGTGGTCCACCTGGCTTGTGGCTGGATCAGTCTTTTAGCGTGGGTAAGAAGGAATTAATAGACAGCCTCTTGAGCTGTGAATATATTATAATGGCCAAAAAGATCTGTGCTGATCCACTTGAATATCCACCAGGAGAGCTTGATATGGAAACAGCGTGGTGAAGGGGTTACAGACAGGTCATCTAGGACCATATTAGGTGTCTACTGGCCGTGTCTGATTTACTATTAAAAATTGAAGTATTTTATATCATTAAAAAGAAAATTCATGACCTTCAGTTACCTGTCTACTCACCTAATTTAAAACTCCTACAATCATGACTCATTGTGGATGGTGAATAGTGGATGTGGCCACGTATTTCCAGATTTTTAATGTATCTATTATAATGTATCTATTGTATCCTGTGTAGCTTTTAACCAAAGTTTGTTTACAAAGGGCTGAAATGTCTTTGACATTCTAGGCACCACTTCATACAAATGTAACATGTTTGGACTAAATAAAGTATTTTCAACATTTAAAAGTGCAGTGTCCTAGGTGTGGGTTTTTGTTTTTGTTTTTGTTTTTTCCTTACTGCCATTCTGTATAATCTCACTTTCATCTGCCTGTCCATGAGAGAGAGTTTTCCAGGTGATTCTTTTCCTCCCAGCAACATGCATTTCTCTCTGGACATAAGGAACTAAAAACTGATTTTGAAATGTAAGGCCCATACAATAAAACCTTAATGTGTTCTAGACATTAACCTATTAACCGAGCGGGACCTATAAATACGTCAAACATAAATACTATCGGGGACGGGTAGGACATATGAATACGTCCTTGAAATATATGTTGCGCCCTGAGAGGGACGGTATATATTTTTTGTAATCTTTTTTTTTTTTTTAATATATTTTATTGATTTTCTTACAGAGAGGAAGGGAGAGAGATAGAGAGCTAGAAACATCGATGAGAGAGAAACATCGACCAGCTGCCTCCTGCACACCCCCAACCAGGGATGTGCCCGCAACCAATGTACATGCCCTTGGCCGGAATCACACCCGGGACCTTTCAGTCCGCAGACCGACGCTCTACCACTGAGCCAAACCGGCTTCGGCTGTAATCTTTATAATTGTTTGTAAAATTTATAATTTTTTAATTCGATGTTTCCATTTTTTTGTTGGTATTCTTTTCTATTTGTTTGTAATTTTGTATTTTACTTTGTGCTTTATATGTAAATAAATGAAAATATATATATTTCATTTATTTAATTAAGTATAAATAAAAAATAATAATATAAAGTTACGTCCGCTGAGTGTGACGTACTGACACGTCCTAGTGAAAGAGTATGCGCCTGTTGTATGTTGCGTAATTAAAAAGGGCACTCCCCGGTTAACAGGTTAATATTGAGGTCCTGTTACCTTAAAGAACAATGTTAAGGCCAAGAAGGAAAATATGCACAATTAAATTATAAATAAAACTGATATATTAAAGGATTGGTTTTAAGAACTCTCCCCCCCAAAAAAACACTGCTATCTACACACACACACACACACACACACACACACACGTAAACACACATTCACCTATGTGGAAAATAAGCATTTTATAATTAACAGGTTTGAGAATCTGTTTTCAGTGAAGAAGTGACTTATCTCCTAAGATAATTGCCTTGCATTCCAAAGGGCAGTGAAAGTTCTTCCCCCAGTCCCTGTAAGCAGTGAGGCTGATACAGCCATCAAGTATTGTTTCATTGTTATATGGAAAGCACTCTGCTATGTTATAGCAAAAGTAAATCTCAAGGAACTAAAGAACACAGTGGAAACAATTTGTATTAGAAAGTGCTGTAAAAAAGTATAAAGTAATAGAATAGTTGGAAGAGACTGAAAATTTGACAGGTGAGGCAAGATGCTGTAAGCAGGCAAAGGGCATAGAGGTGAACCAGTGTGGAGTGCCATGATGAGACAGTTGCTGCAGTGAGGTATATTTACATGTGTGGGTTGGTCATGTATGTTGTGCTTCAGGAAGAAAACCATTTGCTCGGTGGAACTTAAGTTGGACGGGGAAGGAAATTACTGAAGTAGAGATGACTGTCTTGAATCCTATAACTATTACAGTAGTCCAAATGTAAGATAATAAGGGAATGGGGTGGAAAATAGGAATGGGAAGAAGTAGACAGATTTGGCATATCTCCCATAGTTGATTGGACTTGATGGTTATTAAATGATGAAGGAAGAATTCAAGCTGTACCTGAGGAAATGGTTTTCTCTTCAATAGGGACAGAGTAGAGATGTGGGTGAGGATAAAGTGTTCTTAGAGCATATTGCAACCCACCATGATACTAAGAGAGCAGTTGGAAATAGGCTTAATGACTAGAAATGTGTTGAAGATTTAAATTTTGCCTATAATTGCAATTGCTCAGGGATTAATGTGGCAGGCATAGCAAGAGGAGACTTGAAAGAAAACAGAAGTGATGAGCAGAGCAGAGAAAGCAGGAAACTTTGGTGTCATGGAAGCCACGGGAGCAGGGACTCAGAAAGGGAGTCTGGGCCATTATATTGTGAAAGGTTTGCCTAAGAGAGACCTTGAACAGGAGCGTTGGATTTGTTGCTTTTGAAAGGTTTAAAAGAATGATTAAAAGCCAAAGGCCTATACTACAGAAGTAGTTTCTTCCCAACAAGATTGATAAGCTCATACTTTATTGAGAACTCTTTCCTCACCCCTTTAACTTGGCTTACCTGACATGGCCAAAATAGTAACCTGAAGTGTATCTTCCAGTTTGCAGTTATTTATTGAGAAAAATTATGCTTCTCATTTTATACTTTTAAGAAGTGATTGAACTGATTGCTTTATAAGTTTCTTCTTCAAAATATCTATAGTGTGGTCATTTTGGCATTTAATATAACAAAAGCAAAATGATCCTGAACTGGAAGATTTCCCTAGCCTGTGAAGAATTTTGCAGATTTATCATTAAGGCTCTCAAGTTGTGTTTATTTACAAATCTGGACTAGATCATTTCAAACTTATAACCCATCTCATGTGCCTTGCTTACCATGGTTCAGGTAGGTGCATAACCTCCTCGCTGTGAGAGGCATTACCCACTGTAACACTTTTCTCCCTCCGCTCTGTTCCAGGAGGGGCAGGAGGGTGTGTCTGGTATCTGGAGAGAAGAGCTGCGCAGGGATCCCCGCACAGGTTTATGCATCTCTTTAGGAACGCCGGCAAGCAGTGGGTTACATTTCAGCACTTCGCCTTCCTCAAGCGCATGGTACGTTCCGAAGGCCATCCTTGCTCTGCTGCTTCTGCCTTTCCTTTTTTGTCTCCGGGAATTTCAGAAATTCATGTTACAAGAGGAGTAGTAAGAAGTACTGTTTAAAAAGGACTTTTAGTGTCCTCTTCAGTTTATCCAGAACTTAAATCCCTTGCTTTGATTATTCTTAACTGAAACCAGGGTAATTTTGGTGTTTGACCTTAAAAGTATGATTTTGAACTTCTGATTAAGTTTGGATAAAGATTGAAAATATCTTGCATTTTTTTACTAGGTTAAAATTAGAGAAATTATAAATTCTTTAAAATTCTGTGAATACAACAGTAATACAGAAATAATTGCCCTAACAGTGGCCCTCCTGATTTTTTACATTAGCAGTGCATTCAAAAAGCCTTTTAAACACATGTATGTCTGAATTGAACAAATTGAGTTTTTAGTAGTTTGCTCAGCATTCTGTAGTGGCATTGATAATATATCTCAGTCCTCTGGTAGGCTTGTGTCAAGGTCGGGTTCATGATATTAGGGGCAACATAGTAATTTGCTCTAAATTACCAATAAGGGCATTTGACATTTTCTCAAATAGTTTCATAGAATGGAGAAATCTTAGCTAAAAAAACTTTTGGTATGCAAGCATGAAATAATAGCAAATTCATAATCTAAAATCCTCTTTGAAATTTCTCTCACCTTTTTTTTAAAACTTAAAATTTAAAGTCTTTTAAAACTTACTATTTTGGTAAGAGACCTATAAATTTCCAGTGATGTTCAGACTTTTTAGGTTGGTGCTTAAGGATAATGGATATTTAGAAGAGAAACTCAAATATATATTGTGCCATTTTTATGTAAACAGAACTTTGGGTTCATTCATGAGTTTGTAATTCCTAAGACAAGTATGTGTAATAGAAAAGACTCTTACCTAGTTATCAGGTTAGCGGTTCCATATCCAGGGTCACCTGCAACTAACTGGCTGTTGACTCTTGGCTCTGTCAGTTTATTTCTCAGCCTTAATTTCCTCCTCTGCAAATTAAAGAAAAATACTAATAATGGTCCATCTTCTTCAACAACTATTGCAAAGCTTAAATGAAATATGTATGTTATGTAAACTACAACAATATGCACTCTATGAAACTATGAAGTGCCTCATGAATGCTCATACTAATAACTTTTTGCAAGTAAGTGATGGAGAGTGTCTAGCTCTAAAGCCCATGTCCTGTCCTCATACACACTGATGTAGTCACGTAGGCCTGGGATATGCACGTCCACTGAGCCCTGCTGTGCTGTTGGCACTTAACAGGTCTCTGGGCTCTTGATTATAGAAAATGTTTTCATTGTACTTGAATGTTAAACTACCAGCTTCTGGTACTACATTAGGGACATTCTGGAAAAATGAACAAAAAATAAAAAGGTCATCTTTCAAGAAACTTAAATTCCTAGGAATTTCTAGAAATTTGAAAACTATAGCAGAGGAATTAATTGTGTTCTTATATCTTAGTCTAGTGACTTCCATGTAACAAGCACTTTAATATTAGTGCATGTGTCTGTGTTTTATAAAAAGAGAGGAAAATCTTTTACGTACCGTAAAAGTCGGACCGATAGAAGGTATAACTAAACATCCATTTCAGAGCATTTTGGCTTGGTATAGTGACATGTTCTTTTTATTTTTTTATTTTTTATTTTATTTTATTTTTTGTGTCTGGACATCAGTGGCCCAATGATGAGCAGAGTTTATTGAGACTACTGCATCAAACTGGCAAGTCTCAAGCTATTTGGGAAAAGGCAACTCCAAAAGAAAGGGAGTTTTTGTTTGTTTGTTTGTTTTTAACTTTATTTTATTTGTGACATGTTCTTTTTAAATTTAGTACGTCACACAGCTGAACAGAAGCCTCCGCCAGCAGATAAAGCCGAAGTCAGAACCAATGACCTCGTCTTTCCTTGAGAAATCATCTTCGAGTCAAGCCAAAGCGGAAGTATATGAGATGAAGCCTTTTGCACCCTCCTCCCTATCTTTGCCCAGAAAGCCTAATGAAACCAAATTGATAGAACTAGAACCTGCCTCAATAATTGAAGGCTCAGTGGATGTGGGAAAAGAGACAAAAGATGAAAAGCAGTGGAAAGAGATGAAGCTGCGTGTAGACGATTTACCAGGAATTTTGGCTCGACTGTCCAAAATCAAACTCACAGGTACTTTGTCTTTCTGGTATGGTTAAAGTCTTCCTTGAAACTTTGTTTTTAGTTAAACAGAATGCTGATTTTATTTATTCCAAAAGGAATATTTTGGAACTGCAGATTCACTCAATATTTTTTCTCTCTGATTGAGATCTGAAGTCAAATTTTCTGAATTCTGTTTATTCAGAATTATAAATAGTATTATATTGAACATGTACTAGAATATCCTCATTTATTTACAATTAAAGTGGAATACTTACCCTGCTTATTTTTGAATTTTGGGTGTTTTTTTGCATCTGTTGTCCTTTAAAGCTGCAGTGAGATAATGAGTCTGTCTGTCTGAGTTCACAGCAGGATGGTTGGCACTGCTGTGCATGGTGTGCAGTGGAACCACAGTGGCCACTGGGACTCCCACTCACTGATGTTTGCCTCTTGTAGGACCTCTGGGATTGTCCCAGGTATGAAGGGGTTTTGAGTGCTTTTCTGAAAGGTGGTTTAGAACCAGACTTTTTGCCTAATTGTAGCAAACTGCACCAAAATAATTGCATTCATTTATGTGTTAACCCTAATGTCATTTGGTTACTACAACCACCCTACAAGTCAGGTGAAACTTTGTTATTATCATCCCGTCTCATAGCTAAACTTAGAAGTAGCTTATTCTGGGCTCATGCTGTTCAGACCATATGTCCTGGGGCATCCTGCAGACAGACCTGGTCTCTCCATTTCTTCTGGATGAGAAAGAAAAGAAATAGGTAAACCGTAAGGTTGTATTTGGTAGTCTGAGGACAGAAAGTGGTAAATGATATTGTTGAGTCAAAATCGGCAAGTGAGCCGATGAGGCAGAGAGGTGTTGGGAGTGGACAATAAAGAGGGACAGAGGAGTGGTTTCTGTTTGTTTGTTTGTCTTTTAAGAGAGTTGAGCCTGAAATCCCGGGGGAAAGAAGACAAACCAGACACATCTTGTTCCTCATGACCAAGTTCACTTAAAAAACCTTTCTCTGCCGAAACCGGTTTGGCTCAGTGGCAGAGCGTTGGTCTGCGGACTGAAAGGTCCCAGGTTCGATTCTGGTTAAGGGCATGTATATCGGTTGCGGGCACATCCCCAGTAGGGGGTGTGAAAGAGGCAGCTGGTCAATGTGTCTCTCTCATCGACGTTTCTAGCTCTCTATCTCTCTCCCTTCCTCTCTGTAAGAAATCAATAAAATATATTAAAAAAAAAAAAAAAAAAAGAACTTTTCTCGGAGGTTGACACTTGGACATGGGGAATTGACAGAGAATCATAGTAACACGTACAGCCTGCAGCTCTGCAGCCGGTTGGGGGACGGAGTTCAGGTGGTGTCTTTGAAATTCTCTCAGTGCTTTCCAGTGGCTGAGCAAGGCGTCGCCACGTCTCCTTGTCATTTACTCTGCTGGTTTGAGTGTCATGTAGACATGTGAAGAAGGACTAGATAAGGCATGATTCTAGGATGTCACCCAGAAAACAAGGCCTCTCCATCTGGACGCCAGAAGTGAGCTCTGCCATGAGCAGGAGCTTCTCAGTGTACACCAGTCTGCAGATTCAGTCTCTCATGTCCCGTTTCTTTTAGCAAAGCCAATATTCTTCGCCTCTCTTGGACTCTCATGGGGGCGGGCCTGACCATGCCGCATTTCTGCTGCCCCAACGGGGCTGAGGACTGGGCGCTGCCATCTTGTGGCTGTGGGCATCACCATCTTTGAGGGAGTAGCAGTCAATTAGCATATCCCCTCCTTATTGGCTGTGGGTGCCTTCATCTTTGTAAGGGCATGATGATCAATTAGCATATTCCCTCCTTAGTAGAAAGAATTTCCTCCAATGGCATGTGGGAATCTGACTCCTTCTGTACTCCTTGCTTGTGAATTAGCTGTCTTTACCAGTGTTGCCTATTTGAAAACTGAAAATATTTTTGTGTGTTCATTTTTATTTTCTAAGTTTTGGTGGGATTGAGCATCTTTTTCTCTATTGATCATTTCTCTGTTTCCTTCTTTTATTTACCTCATACCCTTGGTCATTTCTTAATGATGTTTTTAGAGCTCTCTTTAGCATTTTATCCATCAAATGCATTAATTTTTTTTAACATTTTCTTTTCCTTTATTTTACTTGTGATATTTCACTGTTTTATTTTGCCCTGCTGAGATTTTTCAAATTTGTTAGTTCTTTTTTTGTTGTTGTTTTTTTATGCTTAGAAATATTTTTACTGCTCTATGGTTATAAAAGCATTCACTGTGGGTGGTTCTTTTTTTTAATGCTTTAATATTTTTATTATATTCTCTGAGGTCTGGGGACCATGTGGAATGTCTTTCAGTATAAGAAGTAGGATGGATTAAGAAGACTGCAGTGGCAGTACTGTTGAGAAAGGATTGCCTGTTTTTGTGAAGGAAGTTTTATTGGAACAAGGCCATGCCAATTTGTTCTATCCTGTTATCATACTATGTTGGCGGAATTGAGTAATTATAGAGAAAATTTATGGCTTGGAAAGCCTGAGTATTTTCCCTCTGGCTCTTTATAGAAAAAGTTTTCTGGCCCTAGCTAAAGAGCGTTGACTGTTGAGACTCAAGAATGATGGTAAATAAATCATTGTTGGCCAATTGAGAAATGACTTGGGCTGACCTAAGGCTGTGGTGGGGAAGGAGGAAGGGGGAGAGAAAGATATAGAAACATAGGAAGGAAATAGAATTAACAGAACGGCAGATGTGGTAGAGTGCTGAGGAGATTTAGGACCTGGAGTTGCAAAGAACTTGACCACCATTAGGTGAAGCAAGCACTCTCCAGATCTTTGAGCCCTGTGCTCCTTACTATTCTATACTCTACCCCAGTGGTCGGCAAACTCATTAGTCAACAGAGCCAAATATCAACAGTACAACAATTGAAATTTCTTTTGAGAGCCGAAAACTGATTTCTGCGCATGGGCCAATTGAAATTTCAATTGCCTGTACGTGCGCACCCATACTTGGTATTTTGTGGAAGAGCCACATGCAAGGGGCCAAAGAGCCACATGTGGCTCGCAAGCCGCAGTTTGCTGACCATTGCTCTACTCAGTTCTCTGGCAGAGAGCACTGTGTACTGCCTCTGGGCCAGAGTTCCTGCATTCAAGTCCTGGCTCTTACTGAGAGGCCTTGAACTGTTCCATAATCTCTCTATGCCTCAGTTTACCCATTTATAAAGTAGGGATAATAATATAATAATACCTATTTCAGAGGGTTATTCTGAGTATTAAATAAGTTAACCTTTGCACACTACATAGAAGTGACTGTGTTAAGAACTATGTCCTTGTTTTTTACGTTAAAAATGCCTGCGTGCCCTCACAGGTATTTGAGTTTGCTGCCCCTGCCTTCTGATATGGCACACTGGATGAGTGGTGGTATTGAACCTTAAGATTATAAACTCCCAGCCTTCTGATATGGCACACTGGATGAGTGGTGGTATTGAGCCTTAAGATTATAAACTCTGAAGAAAGAAACTGTTTGGGGATAATGGTGAGCGGAGTTTTGGACACATGGAATTTGCGTTGTTGCCGGCATATCCAGTGAAGAGGGCCAGTGGGCAGGGGCAGTTGGCTGTGAAGGACAGGAGCTCAGGAGAACTCAGGGCCAGAAGAAGGAGAGGTCTTCAGCATGGAGTCGGCTGCAAGCCATGGTGGTGATAAGGTTGCCCAGGGTCAGTGTGTAGAGGGAGCAAAGCAGAAGCCAGGGACAGGGCTATGGGGTGCCTTCCTTTTAAAACTTAGGTAGAGTGTATTAGGAGACTGCGAGGGAATAACTAACCAGAGGAAGGAAAACGGAAGTCACTTGTCACAGACACTAGAAGGAGAAACAGGCTTCACAAAGGAAGTGATCCACACTTCTAGTTGCTGAAGTCTGAGATGCCTGCTAGGAAGAGCTTTTTGAATGACTGTCAAATGAAGAAATAATTATCCATGTTTCCTCTTTTTCGAGTCTAAAATCTATAGCATTGACTGCATTACTTCTTTAATAGTACATACTATGTATGCTGTGTGGTGCCCATTGGCTCATGCAAAGGAGCCTGCACAGCACGTTGGCTCAGATGGTGCTCTCTGGCCACTGTCCCCAGGGATTCAGATCCTGTAGGCCGGGACAGAACCCAGAGATCTGCATTTTTGACAAGCTTGCGGGAAGACCTGATGCTAGGTGGTCCTGGACCACCCCTTGAGAAAGTGAAGTAAGCATTGTGCAGGCAGAGTGCCGGCCCAAGGCCCACTGGTCTGGCTGGATGCAGAGAACTCGTCCAGTGGGAGCCAGAGCTGTCCTCCCCACTGGGCAGTAGGAAAAGCAGCCGGGCAGGACCTGGACCACACAAAAGCAGGATGCATCGGAGAGAGGGCGCAGTGACCGCCCCTGTGCTACAGATACAGAAGTCCCAGGCAGTAAATTCCTCCAGCACCATTTCATATATTCCATGCCCCAGGTTTCTAGATGAGCTAATTGAGTTAAAGTCATTTCCTTCTGCTCATTCCATTTAAAGAGGCAGCACCCTTCGCATGACCTCTACCCTTTTATTTGACCTTTTCCCCTCCCTATTTAGCTTATTACTTGAATTTACACATCTTGGAGTCAGCGGGATTATTTTCTTTATCATTTGATTTCTTTTGTATTCTTAAGGGCAATTCATTTATTGCTAATGATAGTCGAGGCAGAAATATCTGGGACTTAGTGATGATCTCTTTTATAGAACTAGTCTTTCTTTCTTGGCCTCTTTTTGTTTGTTGCTATGAAACACTGAGGAAACTTAACTAGAAAAGGTGGAGGGCCATATAGTGGCCATTTGCAGGACAGTCGGTTAGCAGTGGCCTGCTGCCTTGGCATTGATGCCAGGATCTGGGCCAGATGTGTGCTGGTGCTAATGTCATTTAAAGACTTTTCTTCTCTGAAAGGAAGTACGATTGAGTTTATAAAGAAATAATATGTCCCCCTTGAGTTTCTCTTGCCAACTGAGCTATTTACAATGTGTTTTTGGACTTTGTTGCAAGGACCACACTGGG